AAGCGATGCTAGTTTGCAGGGGAGTAGTGTTTGCAGGGGTTAACTTGGATGTTTATCCTACTTAGTAACCAGGTTTGTAACAACCATGAATCAACCAACCCAATTGCAACCAATCCACTTGCAACCATGACTATAAGCTACCATGGAATTTGGTGAGCCCCTCCTGGGCAACCCATTTCATTTCACTGGGCAACAATGAACAATGGGTGGCACGCTTGTTTCCACCCCAGTTTGAAATTGAGGCGGACGCCTCTCACCGCCATGAAGGGAGGTTTGTGCCATTTTCCTGTTGTAACGCTGCAACACCCCAACTCAGTGAAGGAACTGCTGCAAACTCCGTGAAATTCGGTTGGGTCAGTTTTGAGGAAGGCTTTTTCGCCAATTTTCTGTTGTAACCGCTGCATCGGGTCGGTTTTTTGCCCGCCCCAACTTCGTTCGGTGGGAGAGAAGCCGAAGTGACCTTCCCCAGAATTAGCTCCCCTTTTTGCTCTTTTTGCTTTTTTGGGGTCCTTTTGTTTTCCACTGACCAGGCAAACAAGTTATGGTTTTTTGCTGGGGTCCTAATTCCAGCCAAGTTTGGTGTTCCAGTGTCCGTTTCAACCAGGAAAAGTTAAGCTTTTGCAGGCTCCCCAAAGAGGGATCATGGACATGCCGTCGTCAGGTGATTTGCGAGGCGCTGGGGCGCATGGCAGACTGGCGGTCGGCCATCGAGGAGCTGCCGTCCTTGGCGAGATGCCTCCAGGAGAGAAGCGGTCGGCGTGTTTGTTTTGGGGGGTTTGGCGCGGTGTCTACATGGGTGCGACTCCAAAGTGGGGGTCTGGAAGTGTGTGTCTTTTTCTTGGAGGGTTCTCCTTCTGACCCTGAACAAATGGTTGGTCATTGCCGGTACATGGGTGCGACTCCAAAGTGAGTCCGGGTGGGCCTTTTCTTGAGGCTTCCCTTTGTCTCCATTGGGGTGAAAGTGCCCCCCATTTAGTGTTTCTTTTCATTGTAGTTTCTTTTCCCCATAGTTGTCACTTATGAAGATCTAGGGGAAGTTTGTGCCATCTACTTCCAGCCCGGCTTGTTGCAGGGAAGCCCAACAGGCGTCCCTCCTGCTTCCTTCCTTCGCGCTCGCGCGCGCTCGCGCGTGAGAGATCTCGCGGGGGACGCCGGCAGGACGAGGCCAACACCCGGCGCGCCGCCGCGGAGGCGCTGTGCCGCCTCACCTTCATGGGACCCGCGGAGGCGGGGCCCAGGGTCCGGGCCAGGGTCCGTTTCGGGGGTGAGGGGGCCCAAATCCTGGGCCAGCAAATCTACAAATCAGCACATGGAAATTCCCAGAAACTTCTCTTTGAAAGGAACATTGGCTTCCAGGACCCCGAAACGACAGGAGGGTATCCTTGTTGGGATTGTTTCTCAGAAGGGCATTCAAAGGAAAGTCACTAGGGTGTTCTTAGGCCATGGTTTTGGGTACCTCCGAGACCCAGGGCGTTGTCCACAACGTTGCACATCGCGCAAATAGGCGTGACCCCATAAACTGAGCTGAATGGGGCTTTAAAGTTTTGAGACCCCTGAAAATGTTCACTTGGGGTTGGGATGTTTTGAGGGTACCTTTTTTTTGAGAAAGCCAATTTTGCAGGGGTCTCGTAATAAAGATACAACCGCTGGACCCTTAATGGACCAACTCCCCTCAGCACAGGAACTGGCCGATTGCGAGCAAGGGATCTTGTGAATGGCGCAAGGCGTTGCGCAGAAGCGACAAAACTGAGGGAGATGGCTGCCGCAACCGGGCAACCATTTGCGGGTTCGGTCGCCGCTCATGTGCATCTCACTGCCCGTTTGCAACAACACATGACGTGGACCTAATGCAGCTAAGGGCGAATGGTAGTACCCGAGGTACGTAATGTGTGGTGTTGTATATATATATATGCATATATGGTGTATATATTTATGTGGCTGTAACTCAAATTGGGGGATTCCTCCAAGTACAGTAGTTTGTTGTCTTCCTGTTCACTTACTCACCTCAAAAGGGTACCATCAACGAACGACGTGCAAACGAAAGGCATAGATATGTGTCAACGCAAGGATTTGGACTCCCATACATGGTGGTTTCCCTTTGACCCAAGTTGAACATTTGGGCCCAACTCTGAAAAACAACAACAAGCCCATTGACAGCTTCTTCTTCTTTTTCTAACATGGCCCCCTTTTGGGTGGTTTTAAGGCAGTTTTTGTTTTTGTACATGGCCCCTTTTGGATGGTTCTAAGCCGTTAGCATGGATGCGTCGCCCGCTCGCAGCTCGAGGCGCTGGAGGTGTGCCCCGGTCTGCCGCAGCAGCTGGTGCTGTGCTTGCGCGACTCCGAGGCCTCGAGCAGTTTGGTCGGCGCCTTCGATGGGTTTGACAGGGCCTGGCGTGGGGCAAAAATGTTTGGGAGCCCAAAAGTGGGAAGAAAAACAATGGCTTGCCTGACCTGTTCCTGGCGCCAAATGAAGGGAATGGACATTGGGAGCCCCAAAATGAAAACAACGGCTTTCCGAACACATGTTCCCCCTTGAACAGGTGCAAACTGGCGCAACGGAAGAACAAAGAACGGCTTGCCTGAGCTGTTTTCCTGGCGCCGTAGGAAGGGAATGGTGAAGCGGTCCACTTTGACTGGAGTTCCCGAAAGAAGGGGACATGGCCGTCCCAATCCAAATGAGGCCTTTAATGCTTGCTTGTTCAAATAGCTCGGCCAAATCTGCGATTCCATGGGGGTCTACTGCAGATTTTTTGGGCCGTCTTGTCTTCTGTCTCGAAAGTACTCTTTGCACGTTCAGTTTGCTCAACTTTCGAAAGGCGGTTTCATTTGCGCAGATTCCTATCTCCGGCTTCCGACCAACCGTCTGAACTTTCAGCTGGGTGTGGGTCAAAATTAAACCACAAGCACGGCTCAAAAATGGAACGCACGTGGCAGCCAGCTGTGTTTCGTTCGGCAGCACGGCTCCTTTTCTTGGCTCAAGCGGCGAGCTGCCGCGCCGCAGCGGCGGCTTTGGTGCGCCCAGGCGACCGAGCCACCGAGCCACCGAGCCGACCGAGCGACGGAGCGAGCGGCCATGGGCGCGGCGGTTTCTTGCGACTGCGAAGGAAACGCCACGAACTTGGCCCTGGTCGAGCTGAGAAGGCGGCACCTTGCCATAAGTGCGGTCTCAAAGGATATGCCAACCCCAAACTTGTGGGGTTTCCAACTTGGATTTCTCTCTACAACCCCAAACGGGGCTCAACACGACGGGGCAAAGGAGTATTGGGACTGAAGCTATTGGCTCGTCTTTTCTGAGACCCGCTTGAGGCTTGAAACCAAAGGACCCCACCAAGCTTGGTTGGATTGTTAGTAGGGAACCACCAACCACAAGCGGTTGGTGGAGCTTGTGGTTGGTGGACATGAATCGGGAGTCCGCCATTTCAGGTCCCCTGTTGGAGCTCATAGCCATTTCAGACCATGATATGGGTTCCTAGCGGACCATGCCCATTGCCCACAGGAGTTTTGACCACAATGTGGCGAACTCACGGTTTATTTCGATGAAGAACCCTTGCGGACTCTGGGGTGAAGAAAGCTTATTGAATCCTTTGCTTGGGGATGGCTGAATTCAGCTTCGCAAAAGGTGGGCGAGTTCAACAATTGCATAGGGTTGTGTGTATTTCAACTGTTGCATGGGTTGTGTGTGTGTGGTGGGCCGGCAGGGTGCGTGTTTTTGGGTTTTCCCCAAAGCGCAAAGCCGACGTCCAAAGCGTCTTGAAGCTCTGAGGCTTGAGGGCCAAACCAAAGTCGTGCAGCCGGACCCGAGGCGGGATGCGACCGGACCGGGCGCCGCCGAGTCATGCGTTTTTGGATCCGAAACGGAGGCTTTTGCTTGCTGGTCTAGGGGAATGATAAAGGGAATGACCCCAAGAAAAGCCATCCTGCTTTTTGGTGTCCGAGAGAAGCCGTAGGTTGATTCCCGGAAGGTCATTCCCACCAGCAAGCCCTGAATGTTGGTACCCTCTGGCGTGACTTGAAAGGTATACCAAAAAGAAACCCTGCCCCATGCATTTTGAGGCTTCCATATTGCGACACACAACCAACTAGACTTTTCTTCTGGCAAAGGCAGATGACAAACGTTCCCACCCAAGAGCTGCTCATATTTGCTTTTGGGCGGTTTGATCAACACCTTCAGACCAAGCCAGTCATGCTCCTTGTTGTTGTTGTTGTTGTTGTTGTTGTTGTTGTTGTTGTTGTTGTTGTTGTTGTTGTTGTTGTTGTTGTTGTTGTTGTTGTTGTTGTTGTTGTGGTTGTTGTTGTTGTTGTGGTTATACATTTTCCCACTCGCACCAAGTTGGCTAGCATGGTTCCGGACCACCTACTCGGTCTCTCTCTTTAAAAACCAAAAGCAAAGATTGGGGCATCCCAACCCAACAAAAGCCGTGTTTCCCACCCCAAGAACCAGCAGCTAGTTCGCAGGCAAGGGAATGACTATATTTACCGTCCAACTGGATTCCTGTATGGGATCCCGAAGTTCATTTTGCAACCAGCCAATGACTTTGCAACAAGCAATGAGGCGCTGGGATCCCGAAGTTCATTCTCAAAGCCCCTGTTGATTCCCCAATGTTGGCCCCCAGATTAACAAATCCTTCCCATAGGGTGTTCCCCTCTGTGATGAATTGTCATCCCCCTTTTACTCAAAATGGCTTCGGTTTTCCATTTGGTTTTCCTAAGCCCGCGAAAATGGGGTACCCTCAAACAAAGTTGAGACACGGTGCCTCTACCGTCTACCAAGGACACATCCAACAAATCAGCTGTGCAACTCATCTGGCATGAATCATTAATCACAGGGTACCTCAAAGGATACATCAAAGTCGGGGGTACCAAGGATATATCCAACAAATCAGCTGTACAACTCATTTGGCGTTAACCTCCAAGAATACATCCAACACATCCGCCAACCAAAGCCAACCGAGCCGCTTCCCCGCTTCGCCTTCGCCGCCGTCTGGCCACGCGTCGAGGGCCCGCTGGCGCTGCTGCTGGCCATGGGCTACCCGCAGAGCCGCGCGCAGCAGGCGCTGGCGGCGGCGGGGAACGACGTGCAGCGCGCCGTGGAGTGCCTGGAGGCGGGCGAAGGCGAAGGTGCGAAGGTGAAGCCGCGCTTTTTGGGCGAGGAAGACACACGGTGGATGCTGCATAACGGCCGGGGGGGGGGGTTGGTTTGGTCTGGTTGTCTTTTTCTTGTTCACCTCTCTTTGAGAGTTGTTCTCTTCCCCTCCAATTCTTGTGTATTTGTTTGGGATGTTTGGAATTTGTGTTTTTTTTGTTTCGACTTTAGTGTGTGTGTGTGTGTGTGTGTGTGCGGAGTGACAGAATGCCCTGTCACCGTCTTTTGGGTTAAAGCAGGGGGCAGCCGGAGAAGCATGTGGGCGGCTGCCAACGAAGACCCCACATGATTCTCGTGAAACGTACCTGCAAGCCGCACCTGGGTCTATGATGACAGCTGGTGGGCTACCCCAACTAAACGGACCCCTCTTTGCCCGCGGAAACCGCCACTCGAAAACCCACCCAGTCGAAAGATGAGATTCCTCCTTCGGGAGTTTAAGTGTGATCACCCTATCTTGGGGGAACCTCGGGTGTACCCATTGTGTGACCCCGGGCCGGTTCGCCGGAAAATTTGACCTCACGACCGATCATAGACCAGCGGATTTCACGTTTAAGCAGGAACGAGGTTTCACTAAAGGGAAGACAGCCGCCACTTCATAGTTACGTCTCACCACTGGCGTTGCACCTGCTGCTTCCAGGCTGCGGCTCTTCGAGTGTTGCGCATATGTGTTGAAATCTTTGCTTGGTTTGTCTTGCATGGTCATGTAACTTGCTACACCTGCTGCTTCCAGGCTGCGGCTCTTCGATTGTCTACGCAGCGGAATAAATGATGCGTGGGCTATTCTTTCGACCTCGTGGTGAGCGCAGCTGCTTCTTCCTGACAGAGAAACAGCGGCTTTCGTCTCTCATTGAGGGGCGTGTGTGTGTGTGTGTGCGGAGATGCCCTGTCACCGTCTTTTGGATTAAAGCAGGGGGCAGCCGGAGAAGCATGTGGGCGGCTGCCAACGAAGACCTCACACGATTCTCGTGAAACGTACCTGCAAGCCGCACCTGGGTCTATGATGACAGTTGGTGGGCTACCCCAACTAAACGGACCCCCCTTTGCCCGCGGAAACCGCCACTCGAAAACCCACCCAGTCGAAAGATGAGATTCCTCCTTCGGGAGTTTAAGTGTGTGTCATTGTTTGGCAAAGTCACTTCCAAAGCAAGACTGTTTTGTTTTTCGTTCTCACCCTTTGCATCTTGATTCCCTATATGCATTAGAGCTAGGATCTGAGCAAAGGTGAAAGACATGAGACCCAGCTGCATTGTTGTTTGATTCTATTGGAGAAGTGAAACAAGTTTGTTGGATGCTATTTTTTGAGGGTACCTTTTTCATCTTGGTTGAAAGGGCAAGCAACACTAAGGCGCACTGCAATTTGTGGGTCTCCCTATGTTGACACGTCTCCAATTTTTCTGAAGCATCCCCATCGAACATGGGAGTTTCTCAACATGGTGGACCCCCTGTTGGTTGGCATTTAAAGAGAAGCCAAAAGAAAAACACAAAACAAAAAAACACCAACCATTTTTCAGGCAGCCGTGCTTGGTCAAAGTACGGCTGCCTTAAAACGGTCCGAACCCAAGCCGCGGGTGTTCTCAAATCGAGAGACACCCACGACTTGGGTTCAGACCTGGCTCAAACAGCAGCAGGCCGAGGCGGCGTCCTCTTCGGAGAACGACGGCGGCATTTGCGGGGTTTGCGCCATCTGCCACTCGGATTTTCCGTGGTGTGCGCCTGGGCCCTTGTTTTCAATCACGACGAGGCAGCTGTTTCCTCTTGTTTGTTCGTGGGTTCTTAAAGCTACGCTTGGGACTCGGTGGTTTCCATGACCAGAGGCTCGTTGGACGAAATTGGGGCACTTGGAATTTCCACGGACAAACGGCCAACCAAAACAATAAAGTCCCCAACTCTAAGAACCCTTATTTCCATGTTGGCCCGAAGGTTTGCTTTCTCACAGTTTCGGGTCGCAAGTTTTCCCTCAGCCCTCGCTCACAGAGATTCGTTCGTCCGTATGGGTGTATGTCGATTGAGTACCCTTTTGGTGGTGTTTGAAAGGCGAACCAAAAAGAAACCAACCATTTTTGGGAGTCTCAATCTTGTTGGGGTTTATTTGAGGGAAGAAAAGGCAGCCAGGCCAAAGCATTTGCCAGTCGGTTTTGAGACACGCCACTGATTCGAACGGAACATGCAGCTTGAGGGCACCTCTTTGTCCATGCGAAATAATTCAGGTGCCACGGTTCTCAAAATGGTTGGACATCAGTGAAATCCCAAACAACCAAAAGGATCTTTTTTTTTGGCAAACCGAATGACCTAAGGGGGTCTGTCACAGACACTCTATTTGTTGTTGTTTCTTTTGTTTGGGCAGAAAAATGGGTTCCCGGACGGGCTTGTGGTCATAGAGGTGAGGAGGTCAGTAAAGCGAAGGGAAGCAAGTCCACATCCTCAACCATTCGGTCACTCATTTTTCGCGAAAGAAGTATCCCTGGAAAGAATAGCCCATGGGGAAGTTCCCAGTTGGGTTGAGGAGTTGGACCGGCCAAGGCCTGCAAGAGGAGTGAAATGGGGAAGCTAAGCAGCTAAGCCTTCCTCTTGCACCCAATACCCACGTTTTGCAAGGTTTGATGTCAAGCCTTGACCAGAAACCAGGTATTGTATTCCCGGGATCAACATTGCCCGGGCTTTGTCTTCTTTGAGGGTCCGGATAGTAAGGGGACCTATTGTGAAGGTTGTTTGGGCCGCCTTGGGGAAACCATGGGAGGACAACAAGGGACGGGGGGACACCAAAGGGGAAGGAGAAGCCACGGGGCAAAGCTTCGACTGGAAGGGTGTGAGCTTCAAGGTACAGAGCCGCTGCAGCCCCGCGACGCCGCCATGCGCTGTGCCGGCCGAGGGGGAGGCGACACTGCGGGTCCCGCAGATGGCTTCCGGGGGGGCGCCGGGGGGTGGTGGTTTCCAGTTAAGCCACTCATGTGGGAAGTGAGAAGGGCATGTTGAGAATGCCACCGAAAAGAGGACTCTTCCGGACAAAGAAGTCACCCAGAGAGTAGTCTAGTGGCCTCCCAACCCAAATGGGCGTGCACAGACGGAAAGGGGCTACGTTCTGCTTGGAAAGGGCTTGGTGCACAGACATGTCAATGTGGGTGTGTCTGTTTTTAGGGTAGGTGGTTTTAAAGGGAAACCAAAAGGAAACCACTCTACTTTTTGGGGGTCCTCTAAAAAGGGACACACCCCCGTTCATTTTGGAAATGAGCCTTTTCCACTTCCATTTTGGGTAAACGAGTCTGGACTTCGGGCTCCACTCAGGAAGGGAAGTGAGTCGACCAGCCGGAGCCAGATTTGATTTTTTTGGGGGTTGATCCCAAGCAATGGGCATGGTTTCTTACCCCCAATGCCGGCTTGTTTCATTTGACGGTACTTCTTGAACAACCCGCTATTTTCCTCCGTGGTAGTCGCCTAGGGGTGACATCATACCCCGTGGGACTGTGGCCGGGCCTGGCCGGGCTTCTTCTCTTTTTTTTGGGGACGGAGGCCACCACTACGGGCACGCGGCCTGTCTGGGGCAGTGGGTGGAGCAATGCCGGGCGCGGCAGCAGGAGCCGGAGATGGAGTCGCGATGAGATCAGCGATTTCCATGGATCCGGTTGGGAGAAATGAGTGACTTAAGGAGCATGAAGGTCCTTTGCTTGAGAATCCGATTCTCATGGTAGGTTTTGGAGTTGGGGAAGACTCGGCAGATTTGCGAGCCGGGGCCAAGGGTTTCTTGGAACCTTGAAAGCCATCCAAGAAGGGAGTCCCTTTTAGGCAGCAAATCCTCTGTTTGTTTTTTGACGACCCAACTACGGGTTCCCTAGTTCGAGGCTCTGTCCACGTTGAAGGGCCTGGGGTGGGATGTTTGGAGGTGCGGATGCTGGAGGCCTTCCAATGGAATTTGGGGCTACGCCTCCAACCGACGTGAGCATGCGCTTGAGAAATGGAACCGGGCATGGACCTTTCGGTTTGCTAAAGGGGAAACCCACAGTTGGAAGAGAAGGGAAAAGCTTCAGATGCGAGACTTCTGTCGAATTATGTGTGGTGATGGGCCCTTTAAGGGGCCAGGAGTATGATGTTCATTGGAGCGCCCCCACCCCCCAAGTGCCCAGAGCCATGGTATCTGAAATGCTGACAGATGGGCCAAAAGCAAAATCGATTTGGGTAGAAGGGTAAGGGACAGGACTTGAGAAGGCATTGGAAGGAAGTGTTTGAAGCGGTGCTTGCTGCTTGGCTGGCACATAATGCTGACCCAGGATTAATAAACCCCCCCCAATTAAAGCGCCTGGTTTTCCTGGAAAATCCCTCGCCAATACTCGTTTTAATTGAAACCCAGGAATTTGCCCTGGCACCCCCACAATAACAAAAAAATCACCCGAAACCCCCCCCTATTAAAGCTCCCCTCCCCCAAACCCCCCGCTACATCATGCGTTTTTAATCTAATTTTAACTTGCCCAACTTTTGCACATGCAACAGCAGCACCCCCCCATTAGTAAAGCCAACACCCCCCTATTAATCTACCATGTCCTTCCCTCACCTGACCTTCCCACAAGGTCCTGACCTTCCCACAAGGTTCCCTCACCTGACCTTCCCACAAGGTTCCCCCACCTGACCTTCCCACAAGGTCCTGACCTTCCCACAAGGTTCCCTCACCTGACCTTCCCACAAGGTCCTGACCTTCCCACAAGGCTCCCTCACCTGACCTTCCCACAAGGTTCCCTCACCTGACCTTCTCACAAGGTTCCCCCACCTGACCTTCCCACAAGGTCCTGACCTTCCCACAAGGTTCCCTCACCTGACCTTTCCACAAGGTCCTGACCTTCCCACAAGGTTCCCTCACCTGACCTTCTCACAAGGTTCCCCCACCTGACCTTCCCACAAGGTCCTGACCTTCCCACAAGGTTCCCTCACCTGACCTTCCCACAAGGTCCTGACCTTCCCACAAGGTTCCCTCACCTGACCTTCCCACAAGGTTCCCTGACCTAACCTTTCCACAAGGTTCCCCTTCCCACTATTGGGGGGGGGCCCTCAAAAAAATGACAGACCTGACCTTGTGACCTTGAGGGGGGGGGGGGGGAGGGGGGGCCGGTTTATTAATCCAGGGTCTGCATTATGGGGCTGTCTCCAAATAAAGTAACCCCACAATGAGTTTCTTTTGCTTTTTCGTTTCAATCCCTTGCCATTTGGGTTTCCCCTGAAATTGTCGTGCATTTTTCCCCCTCGAATGGTGCTGCTGTTAGGTAGAAGTATGGAATTGTTTGCGAATGACTAGGTGTCTTTCTTTTGTGTTCCCCTTTCAACACCTCAAAGTGGTGGTCCGAGCCTCGACAAACACATCCCCACATTCTGAATGCCCACATGTCCAAATCCAAATCAACGAGTGAGTCTCCCGGTTTTATTTAGAGCCCCTAGGTCCCTCCCAAATGGACCATGGGTTACCCGTATTGAGGCTCAGTATATACCCGTTTCTGGTTGGTTTTCAAAGAACATGAATTGGAAAGCCACCGTTTGCGGCCCCCCCTGTGTCTTTTTGGAGGGTACCCTTCTGGGGTTCGAAAAGGAAACTCAAAGGACACCATTTGGGGAGCTCCACAAAATCAGGAGCCCAGCTGTCCGGAGTGCCGGGGTCCGCTGCAGCTGAGACGCCGCCCGGCCCTCAGTGACTCAGGACTCCATTTGGAATTCCATTCATCTTGGTGGCTCCCAGCCATCCCCTCAGCCTTTTAGCTGTTTAGTGTTTGGTGGTAGTTTCCATTTAACCCACTAAAGCTAAGCTTTTTGCGGGGGATCTGAGGGCAGCCCAACAATGCAAGGAGGGCGAAGCGGCCAAGGGCAACAATCTTTGCGACCCAGAAGCCTGACGCCAGACTCCAAAGCGGCCATCGTTTCAGTGGAACCCACAAGTCAATTTCGGCTTCTGAAGGGGAAATCATTGCCAGTGACCCCAGTTGGATTGGTGGTTTGGGTTGTGTGTTGTTCTTCCCGCAAACGGGAAACCACTCCTCCAAACCGCCAATCAAAAGCACCATTTATATATAGGGGAAGCCGAAATTAGAATGCGGCCCAAACTGGTTTATGGGCAAACAGAGCGGATACAATTGCCATCAGGGCCCACAGAATCAGAATGTGGGGTTGCGCGGTATTGGAAAACAACCAAATTAGATTCTTGATGATCCATTTGTGTAATTATTCAGCCCCGTGTAGTAGAATCGCTGGAGCAAATGCTTATGCCTTTTTGGTTTTCTTGCATTGTCCCACCGCACCTAAAAAATACTTGTTGCAGGGGGTCAGATTAGCCTGGCCCAGTAGGGATACATTGAGCCTGCTGGTCAGCAGGAAATAAATTGGAATGACCCAAACTGAACGATCCAGGCTCCCTAAGTTCTTTCCCAAGCCCCAGGTGAGTCTTTACTGGGATGATTTGGGAGTTAGCGAAGTGGTTACCATGGTTGCAAAGGATTGCTAAAGGGGCCAGTACGGCTCCCATTAGGCATCATATGATTTCAACATTGGGATTCGGACACCCCAAAAGGTTTGACTTCCCTTTAGCTTCTCGTATTCCGCCACTCCCTTGAAACATATCTTTGTTCGAAACAAACCTCCAAAAGGGTACCGAGCCTCAAACAATAACATACCCCTTTTTTGGCTGAGAATATCCGTGGGGAACAACCTCCAAAGTGGCTGGTGGACATGAATTGTCCACCAAGGTTGAATTCTCACCTAGTGATGTCCACCAAAGTGTCCCCAATCAGACATCATACCCATGTCCATCCGTCAGTTGGGAACCTTCAGGTACCCAACTGATCTCTCTTGAAACCAAGCCCAAAACAGGATACGGAGCCTGAAAACCGGCGACATACCTGTCTCTTGCTGAGGGCGGATCCAGGATTTCCTGCAGGAGCCTGCCAGTCGGGCACCGAGTTACCCACCGGAATCAGGTTGCCCCCAAGTGGTTTGGACCTCGGAGCCTCGGGGTCAGGTCATTCTTTGGGACCCTTCTCGCGAAAAAGTGGGGGGGGGGGGGGGGGTTCCAAAGTCAGCAGGGCATGTTTCCCTTCCACCTGCCAGGAAAAGGGGGTGACTTTGATAGTGGTAAAATCAAGGGGCCAGATAAACCACAAGGAACAAAAGGAGGCAGGTTTGGGGTTGGAAAAACAATTGCTCACCGAGCCCACTGAGTCTGGGGGTAAAGCGAGCGATTTCACCCATTAAGGTTTCTCACCCGCGGGATTCCCTTATTGGGTCGTGTCAACATAGGGTGAGCGGTTTTGTTCTTTGCTCTTGGATTCCCCTTTAAACAAACCTTTTGAGGGGGTACCTAAAGCACAAAAACCCATCTCCAGTTTGGGGATGTGCCGGCAGAAAAGCGACAAGAGGTCTTCTAAGAACCTGCCAACCGAAACACCTCAACCGGCCTTTTTGGCAGCTATCCTGAATTTGTTTTGGGGGTATTTTCACGGCATGTAACACTAGATGTCGACAAGCAAACAGGGGAACTCTATGATTTTCCCTGGAACTCTCTGACGTGTCCATGTCCTTGGAGGCATAGTGCCTCCGTGAAGACTTCAATCAGAAGCACATGCATCTTTGTTACCCGTTTTTAAAGACACTCTCCAGTCAACGGATCGAATGAAAGGCTGCGATCCTTGAGGCAGGTGGACGGTCAATTCTCGGGGTTTGCGACGTCACCCATCAGTGAAGGTTCTTTTCCTTCTGTAGCACTGGAAATCATTGAGCTAGCTCTGTCTAAGAACGCAAGCACATGCTTGTGACCTTTAAGACGAGCTGAGTGGAACAGCCGTCCTGTGTATTTTTACTTTTATTTTTCCGGGATCTTTTTCCGACGAGGGTGGTTGGGTTTAGTGTGGGTTTGGGGTCGGTTTTGGGGCGGGCTTATTGTGTGTACGCGGGTTTAGGGTTCAGGCTTCGTTTCGGGCTGGATTTAGTGTGGGTTTCGGGGCTTCGGGTGGTTTAGGGTGCGGTTGAGGTGGCGTTCTGGGGTTTGTTGGGGTGGGCTTGGGGTGGGCTGGGGCCAGTGCTGGCTAAAGTTGGTTGATTTCAGGGTTGGCTTGGATTGGTTTAGGGTGGGTTCTAGTAGGGGCTTAGATGGAGCTTGGGTTGGTGCTTGGATCGCTGCTTGGATGTGTCTCCAATTCGGATCAACTCCAAGATCGCAGCTGAATGAGGCCCGAAACTGGTACAAACATCCCTAGTACTGCACCTGCACAAAACAAGGCACACCCACGTGAGGCTATGTGCAACCAGCTCGAATCTTCCAAGCAACATGGCGCTCCAACAGCAATTTGCCGAGACTCAGTTTCCAAGAGGATATCTTCCCAACATTGCCCATGCACCGGCGTTGGTTTCAGAATTGGTTCAAACAACCAGGCCCTACCCCTTCAAAGGGGGAAGCAAAAGGAGTTCCTTTGAACCATGGATGTTTCAACAGGGGATTGGACCGACCTGCACGTGAACCAAACTGTGGACGGGGAATTGTTTGATTTTGCTTGGAACGGCGATCTCTGCCGCGTCTTGGACGACAGACCTTCTTTTTTGCAGTTTGGATGTAAAGCTCCTTTTCAAGGCATTGATTTTCACTCCCGCCCAGCGAAATCCCTGCAACAATCTGCCAAACGGCCAGAGCGTTCGTCCGGATTGTCCACCTGTGAGGCAAGCGGGCGCCGCAGCAAACGCAGGCCGTCAGCCTGTGCCGTCCGTGCCAAAAGCCTTGTACAAGAATAGATTGAACCCCCAAATTACAGTAGCTGCGGACCCCCTTTACTCTACCTGAAAAAAGACCCCAAGGTTTCCTTGAATCAACGATGGGGCTGATTGGTTTCCATACTTTCCCTGAAAAATACTCCCCAAAAGGGTGCCCTCAAAAGGACAAAGTTGTGTTGGTGTTGCGGGGCCCCGACCCAAGTGCGTTCGCTTTCGGCTCAAGAGAGAGCCGTTCCTTAACCTGGGATGCCAAAAGGGCGGCCAGCTGGGTGTGCAGGAAAGGGCCTGCGCGAGGAAATCCGAAGCTTTTGGGTTCCCCCCGCCCCCCCCCAGTTTGACGCATACCCTTCGGCGCTTCGGCGCCAGGCTGTGCGCCAAAACCCGACTCTTGGCAGGTCTTGAGGGAAGTGCTGGAGCGCGTGCCGGATGGCGACGAGTGGCAAGACGTCGACTGGTGCCAGGCTTCGGGGGGGGGGAACGCATTGGCAATTCTAGTAGCAATGCATAAGGCCCATACAAACCATTGGAACTGTGTTGGAAGAATGAACATGTCGGTTGGGTTTGGGTGCAGCTCAGGTGACTTCTAGGACAATAGCAGACTTCGCCAATCTTCCGTTTTTGCCCTTTTCATGTTCTTCTTTCTTCCCAGCTGAAGCCATGGGATCGCTGCCCGGAGCTTCAGGATGGTTTGCAGGGAGTGTTCCGGAGTCCATGGGGTTGCGGGGCTGTTCGGGGCCCTCTTGGGCTTGGGTACGGAGTTTGACTGGGCCCCCCATCTTTTGGGGTCCCGTGACTTTAAGACACACCCACATATACACACATAGGATGTCTCAAACTAGGGGGAACGATGGTTTTCCTGTTCGTCTCCCTTAAAGCCACCCCAATCATTTTTAAGGAATAAACAAATAAACACACACACACACACATCACATATATAGATAATATGTGTATATATATATATATATCCACATCTGCTTTCTATTTCAAGAGGGGGTTTATGTAGATGTATATACCCGCCTTTCCGCCAGGGAGGTTCGGGGTGTGAAAGAAAAAAACGGCGCCGCTGAGGTGGCGGGCTTTGCCGCCCTGGTGGCCGGCGGGCTGCTGGCTGCGGGCCTCTTTGCGGGGCTGCTGATCCAGGAGACGAGACGTTTCGGGGTGTCTCTTTTAAGGTTGGCCAAAGCAAGCTCGTGAGCTGAACTGAACCTGGCTCTCTTTTTTATAGGGGACCGCCCCAGACACAAAAAAACAACAAGAACTCCAAACAAAAGAGAGACACCAGACATTGCCAGGCGGAAGATGGGGGATTTTAGCCTTTAAAGGCGCCCTTAGCCTTTGGAGGTGTTTAGCTTTCTCACTGTCAGAGCCTGGGCTTGGATCCAGAATCTGGCCCCTTTGAGGGATCTCTGAGTGGGTAGCAGATTTCATCTTGGACAATGTTAAGCCGCGCGCGCCAACCTGGGAGTGCCGTTTAAGTCTCCCTGGGTGATTTGTGGGGAGTATCTTTTCAGGCGAGAGTTCGGAAGCATGTTTGCTTTGGGGTTTGGTCCAGGGCTTTGTGGGGAGATCTTTAAATCGATCGGTCCCGGAAAGCAACACATCACAAGTGAAAGGCGAGCTGGCCGATCCAGGGCGAAAAGAAGCGAAGCCCATGACAGTTCTTTACCGGTGGGTTCCCATTCCAGGTTGGATAAAAAGTGGGCCTTTCGAGGAAAGGAGCCCAATTTTGTGGTGAGAGAACAGAGAGGCAAACGGTTGTAACTCCAAAATGGTTGGCAGACACAAACTTGACCATGTTTTCAGGAATTTCACCGAAAGGTCCCCGATAGAACGTCAGACCTAAATGGGACAGGCCAAAGCTCGGGCGTTTCCGACCCCTAAAAACGGGGGAGGATTGTTCCACCCGGCTCATTAAAGGGCACGAAACTTTCAGGTTCATCTTAAAAGTTATGTGTGGAAAAGAAGGTGGGCCATAGCATCCTAATAGTGGGCATTTTCTTTTCGGTGGCTCGCCTTGCCGTGTCAATAAGTCAGCATTGGATTTTCAGACGTCCACAAGATGGGGGATTACCAGAGTCCGGAGGGTCGGATATGGGGAAAACCCATGGTTTCAAAGCCATTGCAAAAGGTAGGCTTCAGATTGCAGGCTTCCTCCCGCAGAAGATATTCAGCAGAACGCTTGCGCACCAGCAATTGGTTGAGTGTGTTTTTGGGCTGGTGCGTAAAACAGTGGGGGTGTCCTTTGGGAAACTCCACGGTGCATCCCCAAAAAAGTGAAGGAGAAATTGACTTGGCCATTTTGGGAGTCCAAATGGAGTTTTGATGGGACATGTGGCCAAATAGACACAGATGTACAACAGAAGCTATGTCAATTCAATTTGTAGAGGGTACCGGAAGGCTTTGGCGTGTTCCTTCCTTCTGATCCGTGCAGGACAAGAAGCGACAGGACCGGGACCGACAGGAGGGCTAGACGATGCAAGAATCGGACCCGAATACCATCGAATCTCAAGCCGGTTCTATGAGAAGGGCTGGGCCATGGTGCAAACATGTGCTTTCTAGGTTAGTTTGGTTAGACGTAGATGGGTTTGAACCATAAATGGTTTGAACCTTTTTGGTCGTCGAACAATGAGCACAAGGTCTGGTTCTTGCCACCTGCCCAACCCCGGGAGAGGCCGCCGAAGTCGGGGACCGGAGTGTGAATTGTTGTTTTATGATTCCTTTGGACCCGGTCAAGTGGCCGAATTACATCCACGGTGTCCAAACCATTCACAAGGGCAAAGCCAGGTTTTCTTTTTCAACGGCTTAAAGGGGGCAAATGACGCATCATCTTAGTATAAGGGGCCAGAAAATTATGCACAGTCGTCTATTAGACTCAATCTGGTTGTAAAGTCCTCCGCAACCTCGTTCAGATCATAGTACTCCTTCTGGTTTGTGGCGTAGTGCTGTGGAGGTGCGTGCAGGGACTTCCTTCTGATCATAATTGAGAGGAGGGGGGGTTGAAATCCAAGTGCTGGCCATAAGAGAATCCAGATCCCATTAGCAGGTGAGGGATCGGAACACAACGCGGTACCCGGCTGGTTTGCCGCTGCTTCCGGCTGCGCGGCAAATGTTTGCGCAGCTCAAAGGATTGGTATGCGCCAACTTGGACAGACGGCAGTGCCAATTCCGGAAAAAAAAAAAAAAAAAAAACGGTTCGCGCCCGGTGTTCAATGATCATCCACTTGAACAGGTGGACTTTTCGGACTTGGCTGCAACCGACTTTGAGAATGGCAAGTCGTACTGCGATTTGCGAGAGCATAATTTCATGCCTGAGCCTTACCCAAATGGCCGGCTGATTTCAGTCCGTGCCGAGGGATCTGAGATCCAGAAGAGCAACGGTCAATACTGATGTTCGGGGCCTCCTGCAACAGGTGCTTTTTCTTTTTTTAGGTGGACGAAACGTGGAACACCGATTCCTGGAGAGGTGGTTTGGGTTGGTGGTTTGGTGATTTGACACCCAGCACCTTTTGAAACGAAATGAGGAAGATATCCCCAGCATCCAAACCACCAAACCACAACACCAAGTAGAGGGAAACTGTACACCCCGGGCCGAGTTATTTACACTAACCGGGATGCTCTGCCTGTTGGCCCAACCGAACTCGCCCTATGACGGCATTGGCGTCAAACAACTGGCGGTTTCTCAACGAAATCCAATTCCATTTGAGGTCACCTGGATGTTTGACCGTGGCTCTTATTTCTTCAGACGTCAGATTTCAGACATTTCACCTGATCTGGCGGATTGCAATGCATGCAAGTTGCATGCCATGCTGAACGCACGGAAATCACTACTTGCCTGCAAATTCATTTGGAGCAAGCGGAGATCCCCCAAGGGAGATTCCTCTACAACTGGATCGTTTTTGTGGGTTATGATAAACTGCAGAGGAGTGACCCCTGCTGGTTTTTGGGGTAGAATCTGCAGGGCAACATGGAGGCGCGGCGCTTTGGCAAGAAAAAGGCCACCAATTCGGCGCTGCATCCAAGCCGTCCCTCCCACCTTGCGCACATCGCAAGGAAATTTCGAAATCACATGAAACGGTTCCGGGTGCGATGTTTTGCAGCCACTTGAACAGTCAAGACCAACTAAGAAATGAATGTGAGGTTTTTTTGAGCGTTAAACCATGAATGGGCTATTTTTGAAGGGACACCACCATGACATCTGCCCCCCCAAATTTTTGCGGGGCCGCGAAAAAGACTTGCTGGTTTTCGGCAGGGAATGAGGGAATGATCCCTATAAACCATCCATCCCATGGTTTCCTTTGAGGAATCCCCAAACGGTTCGTTCCCAACATCCGGGCTTGGTCATTCCCTGTTCTAATTGTTGATTCCCCATTCCTTTCAACCATCGTTCTTTTCAAAAACCAGCAATTTCCCTGGGATTTTGATGGTTTCCTGAAAAGAAGGATCCCTGGAAAGAATGGGGAAGGTCCCCTAGACCTATGGCACCAGCAAGAAAAAGACACCAGTTTTTGTTTCTTCCTCGAGAGCCGCGAATCGCGCCAGAGGTGCCATCGACCCCTCACAGCCGCTCGGATAAAGGTGACAGGTCTCCAGCTTGGGCTGCCAACGGCTCACCCAGGTGTTTCTTGAGGGTACCCTTTTCGACGTGGTTTCAAGTGACCAGAAGGACAGCCATCATTTTTGGGCTAGCCCCATTTTGAGACATACTCACCTTTTTTCAGCTTTTGCTTGGGCGTTTCTTGCTTTTGGACAGTTTCCCGGAGCAAGCCGCTTTTCAACTCTGCGCAGGTCAGAGTGGGGGTTTTGGGTGAAAGTAGATGGCGCTATGGTCCAAGCCGTTTCGGCTTAGTCCTCTTTGCTTCCAAGGGAATCGCGTCTACTTTTGCCCTGTAAGCTTTGTGACATGAAATCCCTGACGAGGAAAGGCTGGGTTGGGATTCTTCTTTGGCAGACAGGAGGTTAGCCAGCGCTCTGGCAAAATGGGTTCTGATTTTGCAAAGGGTGTTTCCAGAGGAGGAATCTAAATGGCGACGGTTTCCTTTTGGTTTGTCTTTAGCTGCCAAATGGGTGTCGATTTGACGTGGGTAGGGAGAACGCCTGTTTTGGTGTTTCTGTGGTCAGGAGGTGCCCTCGTTTCATCGACTTGGGTTGGGGTATATTCACCAAACTTGTAGCCTTGGGGGTGCTCCAAAAGTGGTCCAGAGTTCCCGTGGCGGACCACGCCCGCTGTTTTGGGTACGACCTCGCTATGCCCACTCGCTGCCAGCAGTATTATTCACGAACTTGACCGGGGGTAATGTTAAGAGAACCCCTGGTTGATTATTGGGGAGGTGCCCTCTTTTCGTGGAATCCTTCACTTTTGTGGGTACCACCCCCCAGTGGTGGATCCCATAACCAAAATCCCTTCTCCCTATTGATACATGCACCTTAAAAGTACTTCTCCTCCTAGAGAAAGTATCATTTGGGCTTCGGGGAACGGTCTACGGACAATTCGCGGGTTCCAAGCGTTTCCTTCCAAGGGTTCAGCCAGGTTGACCCATTGGGTCTCATCCATTGGATCTCGGCACTGACTTCAAGGGGACTTCTTCCAGTTAATTTGCCCAGATCGCATCTCAGTGGAAGTGAAGGTCAAACCCAGTCCATCTAGCCCAGCCCCCAATCCAGCCCAGGTTTCCCAGCCAAATGGGTGTGGGTCAAAAAAGGAAGTACCCAAAATGAAAGCCTGGCAAATGGGAAAATTGACTTCACCCTGCGGTTTATTTGGTGGTTTAATTCTGACCCATACCCCAATGTCTGGCGCTCTGGCTCCGGATCGGATCCCGCCCGCAGCGGAGCCAGTCGCCAGGTACGCGGCCACCTTGGTCCGCATCTTCGGAAGGCTGAAGCCTGGGGGCGCCCGGAAACTCAGTGAGCGAGGCGACTCTTAGACGCGGGTGAGGCGTTTAGGGCTTGTTTTTTTCGGGATGGATGGCACATGAGCAGGACTTGGTGACCTATTTTACCGCAAAACAACGAGCCGGCTCGAGGAAATGTAAGGTTTCCATGCGCCAGCCAGGCTTGTCCTACTCGAGATCACCTTGGAGCCCAAAGTGGGCTCCTTCAGGGGGTGAAGTTGGAAATCGGACACGTCGAGATGGGAAATGCGCAGCCTTCTTCCCTCGCCGGGAAACCAAAGGAAGCCGCTAGGTTCTACCCGCTTCTGAGGCATTGCATTGCTCCTGAGGCATTGCGGCATATCTATTTAAACCTAAGCTCTCCTTCCTTAGCGTTCCAACGGTTTTCATGTTCCTGCAGACGCCTTGTGGGGCTGAAACAAATGCTTGTCAATCATTACCTGTTTCAGTGTTGATGCCCTGCATCTTTTTCAAAACACGATCAGCTCGGTGGTGTCCAGCGTTCCATAAGGATTGCCAGGCGTGACTTAGAAGACTTCTTGGACATGGAGTTATGGGGGAGCATACGGCCACAGAGATACAGCAGTCACTTAGGCATGACTTTGTCGTTGGCCTGGGACGGCTCGAATCGAGCAAGCCTGGGGTTCGAACCCCGAGGTTTTGGCCCCAATATGTTCAAACCTGGCCAAGCAAAAGGGACAGACCTGGAAGGTTCTGAGGGTGATACTGAATGAGGAGGAAGCTACCGCAACCCGTTCTTTTGCCAGAATGGGGTGATTTCTTGATTCACATGCTTCTCACTCGGCTTGCAAAGGGCAAGAGGCCTTAGGGATGGTCATGAATCCTTTAGGGATTTGAGCCAGCAATTGTATGACGATCATCTTAGATGGTATCTACAAAGACCACGATTGTAAGGGTTCCACAAAGATGGTTTTGCATTTAAGACAACAGTCTTTTTTTTGAACCCAATCGTCAACGATAAAGAAAGGGCGAGCGCTCAGATGGTCCTGGTCCGCGACTACGGGCGCGGGGATTTGGCGCAGCTGGGGAGCTTGGCTTCGATTTGGAGATTGAGCGGTCTCTGACCCCGCGCCACCAAAGCTCATACACACATATGTACACATGTGTGTATATATATATATATTGTATTGTATTGTATAGATGTGTATTATATATATATATAATACAATATACACACATACTTTCTTCTTTTTTTTTTTTATCGACTTTGGTTGGTTTTAAAGGGAAGCGGAAAGAAAAACAGCCAAGCCGTTTCGCAGGTTGTCTGATTTTGCGATACACTGGGGAGCTTTCCTTCCAGGTTTCCTTTTTGGGGGCATTCCTTCAGAAACTGACTGGTGTAGGGCCACATGTACCAAGTGAACACATCTTTGACCTTCACAAGGACACTTGTGCAACGACTTCCTTAGGTTGCGCTTCAGCGCGGGCCACTGGCTGGGCGGCGACCGCTACGTCCGCGGCGATGGCGCGGGGCGCTTTCGTCGTGGCACTCTCATTTCCAGCTCTTTTTCCACAACGCGCAGGTGAACCACAATCCAGCACCCGGTAAGACTTTTAAGATGAATGTTCATAAGGGATAGCTCGGTTGAATAGGTGCAGCTGCCTTTTGAATTCTTTACATGGTTCTAGTTTTGATTGTG